ACAACATACTTTGCATATCTCATCCAAAACTGAGCTCTAAGAGGCAGGGAAGGCCCATCTGAAGACTTTGCAGAGCAAAGCAAGGCCCGCTGATTATACAAACAGTAGATCTTACCTTCCCAAAGGCAAGACATTGATCCTCTTTTTTATCTCTCCCAGGCGCTCAGAGTCACGGGTCAGAGCAACAGCATGGCTGGGGAAGGACAGGGGAGATAGAACACATGAAGTCAGAGAATGTCTCTGCCCTTTCCAGTCTCTGCTCTGTCATGCCTGGAGCCTGGGATACCCTCTCGAACAAGGGGATGGAACGAAGCTCAGGCACTAAGGCCTTGACTGGAACAGCCAGCAGGACACAAGATTCTCCATGTTGCCTCATTAGCCAAGGTGTGACTGTGGCCAAAGGATGGAAAACAGCCTTTGTGCCAATGCCATCCTTGGTCATCCTTGGTCACCACTACCCAACCCCTGCTTGGGTTCCCAGCTGGTCAGAGCCACACAGGAGCATGGGGAGTTCCTGTCCCAGTTTGACACGTTCCCTCTGGTTTGTCACCACCCTCTCAGAGGGGGATGCACTCCTGGGCTCCAGCAGAGCAGCCCCCAAGGGTGGAGAAGCTCCTGCAGGCACGGCTGAAAGGTGCTGACCTGAGCAAGAACTGGCTCCATCGGATGGGCTGAGCTTTCTGCAGGTGGGTGTAGCCAGGCAGGATGACATCGATTTCTCTGCATGGGAGAGCAGAGAAGGAGGTGAGAGCAGCTGTCAGGAGGGAGGGCAGGGGCAGGGCTGTCCCTCCCTCCTGCTGCTGCCCCACTGCTGTCACTCAAAGAACAAGCCTACAGGTCTCCTGGCCCAGCCAAGGTCATGGATTTGGGAAAGGACTTACATGGCAGCGCGTTCCACCAGGGTCTTGATGAGCTGCAGGAGGTGTGTGGAGATGACAGAGAGGGAATTCTTCATGAACAGCTTCAAGTCAGTCACAACCTGCGTGAGATTGGCCACAGTCAGACAATACAGAATGTGACACATGTGGTGACTGGCCACTTTTATTGCAAAGTAAACCCCTCCTTGTATTGTGTAATGGGAAGGTACATCTTCTTCTCATCATTTGGTCATATTTATGTGGTGATGTCACTATTTCTTGCTCTCCAGGAAGAGTTTCAAAGGCCATGTTGGTCTGAGGTCTCCTAAAATGAGGAGGGGGAGGTGGGGAAATACAAAGGAGAAAAAAATTATTCTGTGCATACCTGATCATTCCTGCTTCTTCCAGTGTGCAACTTCCCAGCTACATCTCCAATCAGCTCCTGACAACAAGAGGAGGATTTCTGTCAGTCTCTCTGCGTTCTAAGCAAGAGACTCCACGAGCAGATCTCCTCCCTGCCTGGAAGGGACTCAGCTCTAGGATCCTGTGAGTGCCCAGGGGATTGTTGTGGGGAAGGGCAGGTTTGGGTTCTGGTTTTGTACAGTGCCACTTCCATGGAAGGGGCCTTGCAGGCACTGGACTGTGCACTTGGGATCCAGAGGAATTTCACAGAGGGACAGAGGCCCATGCCTTTTACATCAGGCAGATGCAGCTACAGAGGAACAGGACCAAGAGGATAGAGAACCCAAACCTTTAGTCTGCGTTCGTTGGCAGTGTGGATGTCCTCATCAGTTTGGATCACGCCAAAGACTCCTTTGGACCATTCCTCAGAGATCTACAAACACCAGCAGAAACACCAGTCAGCTGCAACAGTTACCCTGCTGTGTGTGGGGGCTCTAAGGGTCCCCAGCAAATACCAACTCCTGCCACCCTCATGAAAACTTAACCCCAAAGTGTTAAGTCTCGTGTGAGCTCTGCTATTCAGGCCGAGGCTGGCTGCTTGCTGTATCCTGATATTCTGGACTACTGGGATTCATCTTTCTTCCCATGCCAATCCTGCAGTGTTATGGCTATAGGAGGATTTAATCATTGCAAGGAAGAAGTCAGCCAAAACATCAGTGATTGCTTTAGCATTGTCCACCAAGGTTTTCCTGTAAAACATTGGACAGACTCACCGTTGTCCGTGGTGGGTGAGCAACAACAATGGGTATTTTTTAAAAAGCGTTTCGCTGCTGACTCCTCTTCCCCCCTAGACATTGTCTCCTACCAGAGGGCAGCCACACTCAAAAGGATCCCCACGTGCCAGCAGGAAAAGAATGTCCTTACTTCATACTGAAAGGATTCCTAGTGAATGTTAGGTCTGAAGAGGATGGGACATGAGGACGTTTAAAGATGCTCTTTAGAACAGCAACTCAGATGTTGTCAGGTTAAGGAGCCACTCATTCCAGCACACGTGACAGTTTGTGGAGGGCAGACATACCTTTTCCAGGCCACTCAGGATCTTCTCCAGCTCAGTTTTAGACAGAATCCCAGCCTTCTCCAAGGCTTTGGCATAAGCCATGCTCCCCTGGATATCAACCTCAGACAGTCTCTGGTCAACGGTAATGGAAGCGCTGAGCATCTCCATGACTGGATCTGTGCTTCCGACAAACCTTCCCGCCATCATTTTATCCCCCTGCAAGTAATGAAGTTGAGAGGCATGTTCAAAAGACTTGTGGATATATCCCCTAAAAATCAGTTAATGTCCATCCCACTCCTTATCAAACTAAAACTGAGGACAATCTCAGGAATGGAGGTTTTTTCAGTCTATACCACTGACCAGAAAAACCCTGGACTTTAATGCCTTTGGCAAGCAGTTGTAGAGGTGGAGTGCATGTCACTGTCACTAGAATTTAGTCCCTGAGGTTTCAGGCGTGGCTTGGGAATCCTCCAAGACCTTTTACTCCTGCAGGACTCTGCAGGGAGAATGGCCTGTCTGTGAAAATAAGTATCAGGACCATGGGGTGCAAGACCAGCGTGGAAGTCTCTTTTAAGGCAGCTGCTGATCACAGACCCTTTGAGAGTCTCCTGACAGGGGAAAAAAGTCAGGGAAATGTACTGAAAGCTGGTATCTACTACTACTTGAAATATTAAAAAATATCCCACTCTTTTAGGGAGGCTGCAAGAAAATACTGAGTTGACAAAGAGCTGTGGGCCAGCACAAGCCACATCCTATAAAACACTCCTGTACCCATCCAGTGTGTGAAGTTACCGTTTGAAGAATCTCCAGAGTCCATGACGTTCTTGCAAGTTTTGGCATAAAATTGAGATAAAACCGGCAAAGGTGCAGATTGCAGAAAGGGAGGTCTGTGTGCCTTTCGGTGTCACAAATGTTAGCGTAAAGTGAAAAAAAAAGAACGAGAAAAAAAGCCCAAAGTACCCCCGGCAGGGCTCGGAAGATGCGCGGGGCAGGGCGGGCGGCCGAG